TTGTGCCTATGTTTTTTGTTATAAATTACTTTTCAATCTTTTCTGGAAGTAGGGGGAGCATAAATAATAAACGTAAAACTGAAATATCATGTACCCACAGTTTCTTTCCCAAGACTTTGTGGGTGCACACATGCATGTGCATGTGTATGTGTGTGTGAGAGAGAGATGGGCTCTCACTATGTAGTCCAGGCTGGCCTCAAATTCACAATCCTCCTGCCTCAGCCTACTGAGTGCTGGGATTCCAGGCTTGTACCACCACACCTTTCACCCTAGGCCTGGAAGTCTAGGTCAGAAGGGCCTGGAAAGCCTGAGTCAGAGCAGTTTATGGCAGGCTTAGATGGTTTCCTTCTGCACACCCAATTTTTTTTGATACCTCATCCTCATTCTCTTCAAAGGTCTTCACCTTTGTGAAGGGCTGTGGGCACTGGAAGGCATAGAAGCAGGTTCTGGCTGTCAGAGCCCTCTCTCAGTCTTGGCTGGCTCTTGGTGGTCTGGGGTTAAGACGGGATTAAGGACAAGCACACCAGCTCCAAGGTTTGACAGGTCCAGAGCTCCAGTGCACAGAATCTCCCTCCATACACTACCCTCCCATGTTGTCTCTATCTTTCAGAGAAAAGGCTTTGCAGCTCAGTCTAAGGCATCAGACTGACCCTTTATTGAGCCCAGTATATGAGACCCCCGCTCTGTTTTGGACAAAATATTTCCCCAGGCTCAGTTTTCTCATTCAGAAGTGGGAATGATACCTAACTCAAAGAGATGATTGTGAAGAGCAGGGTGTGGTGGCACACGCTTATCTTCCCAGGGAGGCTGAGGCAAGAGCATCACCATGAGTTCGATGCTAGTCTTGGCTACAGAGTGAGTTCAAGGCCAGCCTGAATTACAGAGGGAGACCTTGTCTCAAATGGGTATTTTTTGCTTTTTTTCTGTAACAAATATAATTTATTTATGCACTTTCAGTCACTTCTCAAAACATGCTTTTTACTTAAAAACAGTTTAAAATTTATTGAATGCTTACTACATTTTAGGCATTGTTCTGAATATATATATATGGAAAGTGCTGTAATCCCAGCACTCAGGAGGCTGAGGCAGGAGTATTCCCATTAGTTCGAGGCCAGCCTGGGCTACATAGTGAGTTCAAGGCCAGCCTGAACTACACATCGAGACCTTGTCTCAAAAACAAAACAAAACAAAAAAATCAATACAATCTACAAAGTGGGGAGTTTATTATTATTTTTAAAATTTTTTGAGTGATGGGGATCAAACCTAGGCTTTCCATATGATACTTCAACTCATGGGTCCTTTTATTTTATTTTTTTGTTGTTGTTAAATTCTTTTATTGTTACATTTTAGGAGGTCCTTTTATTTTTTTATTTTTTTCATACTGGGGACCAAACTCGGGTCCTTGCGCCTGTGAGGCAGGCAGTGGCACCACTGAGCTAAATCCCTGGCCTATGGGTCCTTTTATTATTCACTTCCCTTTTGCTCATTAGAAAATTCGAGCTGGGCGTGGTGATGCATGCCTTTAATCCTCACAACAATCCTCTGTGAACTGTAGAATTACCATCCTCCCCCAGTATAGATGAGAAAACTAAGGCTTCAGAAGATTGAACAATCTAATTCATTGTAAATGAATCTATACACGTGATAAAATTTTATATAACTACACACATGGGCTGGGGGTGTAACTCCGTGTGCTTGAGCACTTGCCTAGCATGTACAAGGCCACAAGTTTCAGCCTCAGTGCCACTAAAAAGTAAATAAAACCATACACACACACACACACACACACACACACACACACAGAACTCAGGAGGGTGAAGCAGGCTGGCTGGAAAATTTAAGGCTAGCCTGGGCTACATAGCAAGACCTTGTGTCTAAATAAATACAAAGAGGGCTGGGGATTTAGCTCAGTGGTTCTGCTGTCTGCCTCACAAGCGTAAGGTCCTGAGTTCCATCCCCGGTACCAAAAAAACCCCAAAAAACCAAAAAAAACCCCAAAGAAACAAACAAAAAAAGGTAAATAAATACAAAGAAACAAAGAACAAAACTCAAATTGAGCAAAGACAAATCTCTGCTTCCTAGGAAGTGACCACACCGGCAGCCACACCCACCTGTCCTGTTGGTAAGGCCACTCCCTCCTAGCTCTGTGCCCTGCATGAAGGTAGGCTTTGAACCCTGGAAATCATCTACTTGGCTGCCTCTGTGTATGTGTAGGAAAACTGAAGCTCAGAGAAAAGGCCTTTGCTCAAGGACACTCATCAACAAGTCTGTGACTGAGCCAGGATGGAGACCAGGTCTTTGAATTCCAGTGCCCATACCCAGGCCTCTCACCCACTCAGCAGGCCCTATCTGGGAGATCACTGGTGCCCATAGGCAGACCTGGGTTCCAATTCACATCCCTCATCAGCCTGCCCAGCTCAAAGTACCCAGGCCCATAGGTGGAAGCAAGGCCTGGAGAGAGTGGTGGAGAGAGAGTGGAGCCACCATAGTCTTGCTACAGTTACCTTAAGAACCAGAGTAGTTGGGGCCACTGAGATGGCAAGGAAAGACCCTCTGAACTTTGGCAAGGAAGGCCGTGTGTGTGTATTCATGTCAAGTCCTTGTTTCCATCGCTCTTGAGTCACATGCTCCAAAGGTTGGGACACATTATTGAAGGGAATGGTCACAAGAGTTCCCTGGCCTTTTCAGGCCCTAGGCTAGTTTCTGTTCCTCCTGGGACTGAAACTAACTCCCTCCTCACAGCCAGTACCCCTCCCTAGTTGATAATACAGCCACTTTCTCCTCTAAGTCTCAGTTGCCTGAGACTTGCTTGGACCAGGCCAGAGGTTAGAGGAGAGGACCACTTGAGACTCATTTTCTCAGGGTACAGGTCCCTGGTATCTAATGGGGGACTTGACTGACGTTCAAATGAACCGATTGTCCCTCCCTTCCTCATCCCGTTAAGTCCGCCTCCTCCACCCCTCAAGCCTATCCTCGATGGGCCAGGCAAGGCGAAAGATCAAAGACCCCTCCCTGTCCTCTCCCCCTCTCAGTCGAGGAACTAACACTATCAATTGGCCTGAGGGAGCGGCTCTAGTAATCCGGGCGGTGGGGAGCAGCGCCCTCGTGTGGCCCTCAAGAGAAGCGGCTCCTTGCTCAACCCCTTCCTTTCTATGCGTTCATTGAACAAGCATTTATTGAGAGCCAGTAGCTGGTATGTGCCAGGCTGCTCTAGGAGCAGCGGCCGCAACAGATAAGCTACTTGCTCTGTGGACTGTGTATCTCAGTTGTGTGTATGTGGAGAGGCAGGCAATAAATGATACACAAATAAATAAGTCAGTTACTTGTAATGATAACTACTAGGAAGAAAATACAGTAAGACAAATGTGATAGTGAGTGAGCCTGGAGTGAAACTGAGGACAGGATGGAAAAGAAAGGATTCTTTTTTTTTTTTTTTTGGTACCGGGGATCAAACTCAGGACTTTGCACTTGCTAGGCAGGCAGTGGCACCACTGAGCTAAATCCCGGCCCTAACGAAGGATTCTTTTGAGGGTCAGATCTGAAATAAGACCTAGGTGATAAGGATCTAGGATGTGTGGGGAAACCTTTTCTTGTTAGAAAACATTCTGTACAGCCCTCTCAGGCAGGAGCAGGCTTTGGATAACAGACAGGAGGCTGGTGTGGCTAGAAAAGGATACGGGGTCAGCAAGGTGAGCTGAAGTCGGATCATAGATCTAGTAAGCCATGAAAATGAGTTTGATTATTATTTTGGGAGTAGAGGGCATGCATTTGGTGGGTTGTTTTTGTTGTTTTTGAGACAGGGTCTTGCTATTATGTAGTTCAGGCTGGAGTGAACTCAATCTGTAGTCAAGGCTGGCCTTGAACTCACAGCTATCCTCCTGCCTCAGCCTCTGCGAGTATTGGGATTACAAAGTGCAACACCACCCCAGCCACTGGGTGAGTTTTGAGCAGCAGAGTAATACAATTTGATTATCTTTTAAAATTCCTTCAGCTGCTGTGTGGACTTTTAGCAACAGACAAAAAACAGAAGCAGAGAGATTATTGCAAGAGGCTAGAAAGCTATTGAAATAATTCAGATGACAAATAATGGTAGCTAGGATCAGAGTAGTAGTGTTGGAGGTGGGGAGATGTGTTGGTTCTGAAAGAGTCAAGAGGACTTGACAAGGGGTCATATTCTTTTGTTCATTTTGGCTCCAGGAACTCCTTCACATGCAGAACCTAATTGTCTTCATCCTTAGTTGAGGGCTGAATTAAAGGGGAAGCTCCAAGGGGCCCAACTAAATTGAGGGGTTTCCAGATGTTACTGGACAAAAAAAAAATTAAGACATGGGCCTTGTGGCCAAGTGTGATGGCACATGCCTATAATTCCAGTACTTGGGAAGCTGAGGCAGGAGGATTGCTTGAGGCCAGCTTGGGCTACATAGTGAGTTCAAGCCCAGCCTGAACTACATAGTGAGATCTAGTAAAAAAAAAAAAAAGACATAGGTGTTATATTCTTCATGTCCTGCCTCTACTTTCCATCATTAGCCCATTTACTGAGCAGGGTCTCTATCTGCTGTCTCCCTTATCCTGCCTGGTTTCCATAGGCCTCATTATTTAGGTCTCTGTTTGTCCAAATGTGTATGTCTGTGGCCCCCAGGGTATGTTGTTGACACCTAAAACAGTTCTGGATATTTAGTGTTTGTATGTGACACAGGCTAGGGGACAGCATAATCTGGGGGTGTCAGTACTCAAACTAGGCTGACCATCTACTCCTGTTTACACAAAACACAATGATTCAGACCTGATCCTACAGGAAATGCACATACATACTTTGACCCCGTGTTAGGCATTTCTGGAAAGCCTGAGAAATGCCTAGCTACCCTGACAAGCACTCCTAGGCCAACTGGGGGTGGGAAAGCAAGTAGGGGAGGAGGTGAGCCAGTATGCTCTGGAGCCAACAAGCCTGGCTCTGTTTGTGTTGTGCTGGGCTGGGGGTGCATTATAAATGAAGCCAGCCGGAGGGCCCCAGATAGTGCACTGCTCCTGAGATTCTTTGAGAGCCTCACCAAGATGAAGCTGCCAGGCCACGAGGAGTATGAGACCTCCAGTGCTCATGAAAATGTTTCTGTTTCTGCAGGGGAGCCAGACAGTGACCATGGCTCAGGTCACAGCCCTAGTGGCTCCTCAGAAACAGACAGCAGAGAACTGGGGATATCCAAGGACCCTCTGCTCTTCATTCAGCTGAATGAGCTGCTGGGCTGGCCCCAGGCACTGGAGTGGAGAGAGACAGGCAGGTGAGTGGGTCCCAGGATAGTTCTATGGGATTCTTGCCCTCCCCTAACTGGGACCGCCTCCATGATCCCCAGCACCTTTTTGGGGCTCCTTCCCACTCCAAATCAGGATTTTTTCCTCTCTGTCTTCTACATTCTATGATACTCCATCTCTTCTATGGTCTAGTTTTGAGATTCCCAAGACCCAAAATGAGGGGTGACTGGCCAGGAAAGGCCATACTCTGTACCACTGGGCCCAGGACTCCCCCATTGCCCTACTTTCCTTGGCTCTCATTTACTTGCTCCTGGAATGTGGAAGAGATTTCCCTAATTACACTGTCTACCTCTCTCTACCACAGGTGGGTGCTGTTTGAGGAGAAGCTGGAGGTGAGTGCAGGCCGGTGGAGTGCCCCCCATGTGCCCACTCTGGCACTGCCCAGCCTCCAGAAGCTCCGCAGCCTGCTGGCCAAGGGCCTCGTACTGCTGGACTGTCCAGCTCAGAACCTTCTGGAGCTTGTGGGTAGGATGGGAGTCTTTGCAGGGGGACCTGGATAGAGATGTCATTTCCCTGATTTCCCCCAAAGTCTTGGAATCTTCCAGAGCTTATCCCATGCTACCCCACCCTAGGGACTGCCCATCTTTGTAACGGGGTGGAAGTGGAAAAGCAGAGTAGAGAGGAATTTTCAGTCCTTGCATTCCTTGAGATTCCTAGAAGGGAAAGGGGCCTGGCCAAGGGGGTAGGAGATAAGTACTAGGGTCAGATAACTTTCAAGGAAGAGTTTCAGCCCCACATCTGTTCTCCAGAGCAGGTGATCAGGGTGGAGTCGCTGAGCCCAGAGCTGAGAGGGCAGCTGCAGGCTTTGCTGCTGCAGAGACCCCAGCATTTCATCCAGACCACAGACACCTGGCCCTGCTGCGGTGAGAGGCCCCTCCTTTGGCCCAGCATCAGTGCCCCTGGGTGGGAGGATCTCACCTGTACCTTCTTGAGCCAAGAGTGGCCTAGGGTTGTCTTAGACTTCAACCTAGGACTTGGGGGCAAGAGAAATCTTGTGGTAAGGGTGGTGGGGAAGGAATGGAAGGAGGATCAATTTTATATTTAAAAAAAAAGTCTTATACTTTTTAGCTGGCCGTGGTAGCACATATCTGTAATCCCAGTGCTTGGGAGGCTGAGTCAGGATGATTACTGCGAATTAGAGACCAGCCTGGGCTACATAGTGAGCTCAAGGCCAGCCTGAGAGACCCTGTCTCAAAAAAACCCAGATAGGACAGGGGATTTAGCTCAGTGGTGCTGCTGCCTGCATCGAAATCACAAAGTCCTGAGTTTGATCCCCGGTATAAAAAAACTCCCTAAAACAAAAAACAACCCCCGCAGATAAATAGATAGATAAAATAAATTTTTTTAAATTATCCTGTGAAGGAGTGTACTTGGTAGGCACTGTGCCAGGAGCTTTATACACAGTATCTCATTTAATTTTCACAATCATCTTGTAAGGTAGTACTACAATTCTCCTGATGTTAGTGATGAAAAACAGGCTCAGGGTGTGCTCCTCTTCTCACAGCTTGTCAGTGGAAAAGCTGGCTGGGGAGCCCTGGTGGACCTACCCCCAAAGCCTGTGCTCTTAACCACCACATAACCCTGTTTTGTAGGATCTATCCCTCCAAGAAAGGCGTTTTACAATGAAGGGGCCCCTCTTAGAGAACAGGTTTGTGGCCTTTCCTTGGGCGGGATTGGGAGAGGGGTTATCATCATTGGAGGTCCTGCCAACAGCCCCCTCCCTAAATAGCCTCTTCTATTCTGTGCCACTCTCATCAGAACCCTCTGAGACAGAAGCTACCTCCAGGGGCTGAGGCAGCAGCTGTGCTGACAGGAGAGCTAGGCTTTCTGGCACAGCCACTGGGAGCCTTTGTTCGACTGCGGGATCCAGTGGTGTTGGGGACACTTACTGAGGTGGCCCTCCCCAGCAGGTGAGGCCACTGTGTCCGAGTGAGCGGTCAGTCTTACAGTCCAGAAGAAAGGCCTTTATTGGGGAGGAGTTTGGTGGTGCCTTCTCCGGATACAGTTCTCTGTGCATGTGTGTGGAGTAATGCACAGGGTCAGGGACTGAAGAGCAGGTGTGCACAGGAGTGTTGTGCAGGACTTACGGGGAGGTCAGAGCTGAGCGCCAGTAGGCAGGACTGCCTTTGAGAAAGCAGCCTCTCTGAGGCCCAGTTCCTTCTTCAGGTTTTTCTGCCTGCTCCTGGGCCCTACCATGCCGGGAAGGGGCTATCATGAGATGGGTCGGGCAGCAGCTGTCCTCCTCAGTGACCCGGTGAGCTGGGCAAATGTGTGGGTGTGTGCAGTAGGTTCATGTGACTGAGCAGGTATATAAACTCTGCCTTTGTGACTAAGTACAATGAGGCAGAGTGTGGCTTTGTGTCTGTACCATGGGGACTAAAGTTTCCATGGCTACCACTGTAGCCCCATTACTGGCCTAGTGCCGGCACACAGTGGGCATGCAGTAGTCGCTGAATGGTAGAATACATGCATAGATAAATGCACGAGTGGCCTGTCTATCTATGTAATGTGTATCTACTTTTGGGGGGGGCGGTATGGGGGATCGAACTTGTGACCTTGCGCTTGTGAGGCAGGTGGCAGAACCACTGAGCTAAATCCCGGGCCCAATATGTGCCTACTTTTGAGAAATACAGAAGTGAATATGCATGTAAGATTCAAATCTGCATTTACTGCTCATTTTGTGCTCTTAACCATAGCAATTCCAGTGGTCAGTTCGTCGGGCCAGCAACCTTCATGACCTCCTGGCAGCCCTGGATGCCTTCCTAGAGGAGGTGACAGTGCTCCCCCCAGGTCGGTGGGACCCAACAGCCCGGATTCTCCCGCCCAAATGCCTGCCCTCTCAGCACAAAAGGTACCTGGAGGCTCTCATTCCCTATAGATCCTTCCCCACAGGTGGCGAATCTAGAGCTACTATCGCGGAAGGTTGAGTTCTATGTTTGGATTTGGAGTCAGGCAGGCTTAATCAGTTCTGCTCTACCGCTCTCTCGCGTAGAGGCCTGAATAACCTTCCCAGGCCCAGACTGGCTTTCCTACGGTGCAACACGACCTGCACTTTTTTTGCTCCTTCTCAGTGGAGAGAACTCTCCCACCCCAGTCGGCACGGACGCAACTGCCGCCAGGGGGCAGGGCGCCACCAGCTCTGGGCCAAGTGACTGGTGTTCCCTTTCTCCTCAGGTCACCCTGGCAAAAGCAGGAGGTCAAGGGCCTCTCTGGCCCGTGCACGGCCCGGGCAGAGGACAGACATGGCAGAGGGCTGCATTTACCCAGTCCGGAATTGCAGCGGACCGGTCGGTGAGGAGAGCTGTGCGTGAGCAAGGGTTGGGGGACCTGCTGCGGTGGCGTGTGTGTGTGTGTGTGTGTGTGTGTTTTGGGGCCCGAAGTGTGTGGTCACTGTGGTGGAGGCTTAGCCGGCCACAGGAAAGTAGTGGGGCGGCGCAGGTACGGAGTGTGGGAACCTGGATTACTGACGACCCATGGGCGGGAGGCTGTTCGGGGGTCTTGTCCAGGACGTGAGCCGGAAAGCTTCCTGGTACAGCAGCGATTTCTTGGACGCCCTGCACCCCCAGTGTTTCTCAGCTGTGCTCTACATTTACCTGGCTACCGTCACTAACGCCATTACTTTCGGGGGTCTGCTGGGAGATGCCACTGATGGTGCCCAGGTGGGTGGGGTTGTGTGAGGGAGGCTGGCACAAGCTTTGGTGTCATATCTGCAGAGCTAGGACTGTAGGTGGGCTGAGGAGGATCCCGGGAAGCTTGGGCTCCTGAGCTGAGGATGCCAAGGCTCCGTTGGTTTCTAGGGAGTGCTAGAAAGTTTCCTGGGAACTTCGGTGGCTGGAGCTGCCTTCTGCCTGCTGGCAGGCCAGCCCCTCACCATCCTCAGCAGCACTGGGCCAGTGCTGGTCTTTGAGCGGCTGCTTTTCTCTTTCAGCAGGTAGGAAACCTCCCCCACCTCATGAGCCCCTCCCTAGTCACACTTCACCCTGGTCCTGGCTGGGTCAATAGGAGAGGGTGGGAACTGTCTTGGCCTTGGGGGTACCTAGGTGAGGAGAAGACAGCCCTGCCTGGCTCTCACCCTTACAGAGATCACAGCCTGGACTACCTGCCCTTCCGCCTGTGGGTGGGCATCTGGGTGGCCACCTTCTGCCTGGTGCTGGTGGCCACAGAGGCCAGTGTGCTGGTGCGCTACTTCACCCGATTCACGGAGGAAGGTTTCTGTGCCCTCATCAGCCTCATCTTCATCTATGATGCCCTGGGCAAAATGATGAGTTTGACCCATGCATATCCCATCCAAAGGCCTGGATCTCCTGCCTATGGCTGCCTCTGTCAATACCCAGGCCCAGAAGGTGGGTGAGGGAAACAGGGACCTTGACTAGGTGAGGAGGGACATAGGAGGGGTTTCCCCTTGGTCATGTTTAGTAAAGTGCTGGATATTTATCCAATAGCATACTTCCCTACTCTGTTTTTGAACCAACTGAAAAACAAGACAACAGAAAACTCAATATTGTCTTTATTTCTGACAACACTAATTGAAGAACATAGATTATATATATAGGTGAATAGGTTTCCTAACAATGAAGCCAAAATTAGACTCACTTACTCAGTCATGGCAGCATTGGACAGGGACTGTTTTGCCCTAGAGGAGCAGAGATAACCACATGTACCAAACAGGCAGCTTACTCCTGAAAGGGGAGAGAGGAAGGAGCAGGGCCAGACATGCCTGGTTTCATCTCCTAAACTTACCAATCAAATAAATCATGGGTCTTTCTGTGGATGGGAGTGGCTGACCAGGTAAAGAAAGGCTTGGAGTGTTACACTTGGCATCTATCCCTCCATGTAAAAGGCATTGCAACTGGGAAAGAATTGTTCTCTCTAACATGTGCCAGACTCTGCTAAGCATGAACAAGACCAGTTTTTGCCCTGGGAGAAACACAGATCAGGCATCCAGCCAACATTTGCTGAGCAACTGCTGTATCCTGTGCTCACTGGGGATACAGATATGTAGGGAATTTGAGGGGTTGAGTGTGCAAGGCAGTGTCCTGAGGAGTACACAGATGGTTCCAGTGGAATTAGTAAATGGAGTCAGAACTACGAACTCTGGTTCAGCTATATTGATCAGAGTAGAATCCTGTGAGAGCCGGGAATGGTGGAACATGTCTGTAATCCCAGCACTTGGTGGTAGTGGTGGGGGGGCACTGAGACAGGAGGATTGCTGTTAGTTCAAGGGCAGCCTGAACTATATAATGAGACCCTGTCTCAAAACAAAAAAAAAAAGTTATAGAATCCTGTGAGGCTAAAGAACATTTTTAGGGGAGGGGGAATATTCTTGAATTATTCTTTGTTTCTCAGGAAACGAGTCTCAGTGGGCAACAACAAAGCCAAAGTACAGAGATGACATCTTAAGCATGGTGAGGACTTGCTCCTAAGAGGGCCTGGAAAAGAAAGAGTGACAACCAAACCAATTAGTTGTTCCCATTTCTTCCCACCCCATTGGCTAGGAAAATACTCATAAGGTCATTGAGGTTCAGCCATTTCCTGTGGTCAAAGAGCCTGGGTCCTTGATATTTCTGTGGGTCCCTCTTCCCTTGCTTACTCTCCTGGACCTACTCATGCTGCCATAATCCCATCCCTGACCATCCCTTTACACAGGATCTAGGCCTGGTCAACGCATCTTTGCTGTCTCCATTTGAGTGCATCCAACAGGGAGGCCAACCTCGTGGCCCTGGCTGTCACACAGTTCCAGACATTGCTTTATTCTCCCTTCTCCTCTTCCTTACCTCCTTTCTCTTTGCTACGGCCTTCAAGCATGTAAAGACAAGTCGCATCTTCCCCTCCATGGTGAGTATCACCTTTCCTTTTGTGGGAGAGGCCTATTCTTGGCCTTGAGTTCAGTGTGGAGATGAGAAAGGGTAGGGAAGGAAGGGGATGGCAGCTCCAAACCTGACTGAGTGTCCGCTATGTGGCCAGGTGCGCAAGGTGCTCAGCGACTTCTCCTCAGTCCTGGCCATTCTCCTGGGCTGCGGCCTTGATGCATTCCTGGGCCTAGCCACACCGAAGCTCATGGTGCCTACAGAGTTCAAGGTGAAAGCTGGTGGGATGGGGAGGGCAAGGCCAACCGACTCTGGTTGAGGAAGATGCATAAATCCTACACCTCCCTTCCTCTGAGCTTCTTTTCTCACTCTTAAAGTGACAATAGTAGTAATAATGGCCTCACAGAGTTGTCCAGAGGATTACATGAGGTACTGCAGCAGAGACATATGAAGATGGGACCAAAATACCTGGTGAATGTTTAAATTTTAAAAAATTTATTACAGTGAAAAAACATATTTTGATCAACCCCCCTCAAAATACTCCCCCTTACCTGAACAAACTTATCCCATCGTTCTTGCCACTTTCTGAAGCAATTCTGGAAGTTCTCTTTTCTAAGTGTCTTTATGAGGTGTGATCTAAAATATGACAAATTCTGCTGCCAAATGCCATCCAATAGAAAGGCAGGCTCACAAAAACATTACCATGTGTCCTCATCTATCTTATTCCTTGGACCTGACACTGTGCAACTTCTGGCTCTTCCCCAAATTCAAAATGACTATGAAAGGTGAACATTTTGAATCGATTCAGGACATCAAGGCAGCCATGACCCTGCAATTATGTAAAGTCTCTCATGAAAGAGGACTTCTAAAATTGCTTCAGAAAGTGATAAGAATAGCCGCTGGGCTGGTGTGGTAGTGCAGGCCTATAATCCCTGCACTCTGGGAGGCTGAGGGAGGAGAATTGCAAGTTCAACCCAGCCTGAGCAATTTAGCAATTTAGTGAGACCCTGTCTCAAAATTGGAAAAGGTGTGTGTGGGGGGGGGGTGCTGGGGATGTAGCTCAATGTAATGCAAAGTCCTTGGTTTCAATCCCCAGTACCAGGGTAAAAAAAGGAAAGAAAGAAGGTAAAAAGAAAGTAGAAAGAATGATGGAATGAATATTTGATTCAAGGGGGAGTATTCTGAGTGAGATTAATGGCAATATGTCTTTTACTGTAATCAATTTTAAACAAGGATTAAACATTCACCGTATTTTTTTATCACACATTTTTCGATAAGTGGAAGAATACTATACCCAGTAGCTATTATTATAGGGTAGGGGTTAGGAGGATGGGTTTTGGTCTGCCAGCCTTGGGCTTGAGCTCCAGTTCTGCTACTTCCTAGCTGTGTATTAGGTGAGTTACTGCACATTTCTGAGCCTCAGTATCTTTTTTTTTTTTTTGGTACCGGGAACTGAACTTGGGACCTTGCGCTTGCAAGGCAGGTGACAGAACCACTGAGCTAAATCCCCGGCCCCTCGATATCTTGATCTATAAAATGGAAATAATAAATAACAATATTTCCTACCTCATAGGTTGTTTTGAGGTTTACAGAAGATTGTAGTATAAAGCACTTATCACTGTACCTGGCACAAACCAAGTCCTCAGTAAATGTTGGTCATTGTAATGGGGTCTCCCCACTCTTAGCATGGCCCTATCCACTCCACTCCCCCTACTCTCTACTTTGTACCCCTCATTGCCTGCTCTCATCTAGTAAAACTGGAGATCCCTCTCCGGAGAATTATAGTGAGGAGGACAGGCTTTGTACCAATTTCTGGACTTTGCCTGAATAATTTGGAGATCTTCCCTGAGCTTCTCCCAAGACAGAAGAGCACAGGAACTCCATTTGGGGCACCCTCAGGAACCAGAATCCCCTCCCACACAGGGACGCTTGTAATCACAACAGACGCAGACACACCCAGTCCTGCCCCTCCCCTGCCCCAGATCAAGGCAGGTCTAAACCTGAGTTGCCCCACCCTGGGTGGGGGGTGATGCCTAGGGAGGAAAGCTCTCTATATATACTGTACCAAGAAGTGTGAGCAAGCTCACCCATCAATTCCTCCAAGGAGGGAGGGACCCTGGGACCCAAAGTCTTACAGCCTTTGTATGGAGTAAGAGCCAGGCTATTCCCCCTCCCTCTGCCCTCTTAAGGTGCTCAGATGCTCTGAACCAGCTGTGCATGTGTGCACACACACACACACAGCTCCCACCTAGCATCTTAGCATCCTGTGTCTTAGGAGGGAGTCAGGTGAGGAAGAATCCCGAGGCAGGGGTAGGCAGGTGAGATGCTCTTAGGAGACCCTCTCCAATCTGTCCATGGCATGACCTCCCCCAGCCCACACTCTCTGGGCGTGGCTGGCTGGTATCACCTTTTGGAGCCAACCCCTGGTGGCTGAGTGTGGCAGCCGCCCTGCCTGCCCTGCTGCTGTCTATCCTCATCTTCATGGACCAGCAGATCACAGCAGTCATCCTCAACCGTGCAGAATATAAGCTGCAGGTAAGATCTTCTGGGTAAGGCCGGCCTAGTCTAAGAGACAGAAGCTCCGGTTGGTGTCCAGGCCTCCCTGCTCTCCCCCAGGAGGATGGAGAGCTGAGGCGGGGCCAGCTTCATTCTTGTCCACTACCCCCTTCCCTGTGCTCCTGTCCCTGTAGAAGGGAGCTGGCTTCCATTTGGACCTCTTCTGTGTGGCTGTGCTGATTCTGCTCACATCAACACTTGGGCTGCCCTGGTGTGTCTCAGCCACTGTCATCTCCCTGGCCCACATGGACAGTCTTCGGAGAGAGAGCAGCGCCTGTGCCCCTGGGGAGCCCCCTAGCTTCCTGGGCATCAGGTGAGGACATTATTTAGGAGGCTAGAGTGAGGGATGGGCAAGGAGGAGGAGTACAGGGTACATGGTAGAGTTACTTGAGCAGCTTACACTCTAAGTTTGTGCACCATGAGCACTGCAGGAGGGTAAGTGGGTGGATCCTAGGCTCTGAGATGGGTGAATTAGATCTCTCCTCTTTAAGCCATGGGAACTAGGAGTGGCCTCAAGAGAAGCATCATCTATGCAAGGAAGGAAACAGCCAGGCAGAAGAAGAGGCTGAGGTGCCAGCAATCCCCACTCAATGCAGACACACATGGTTGATGTTACAAAGGAATTCAGGGCCAAGGATTTAGCTCAGTGGTTCCACAGCCTGCCTTGCAATCGCAAGGACCTGAGTTCAATCCCCGGTACCAAAACAAAAACAAAAACAAAGGAATCCAATTCTGGAACTGTTGGAAGACAATTCCACTATCTAAAGCATATGAAATAAATTTTGTAGATTGTAAAATACAAACTTTACAATAGTATAAAGTTATAGGGCTGAGGATTTAGCTCAGTGATGCCACACCTCCCTCGCAAGCACAAGGTCCTGAGTTTGATCCCCAGTACCAGGAAAGAAAAAAGTTATGAGTTTTCCATCAAAACAAAAACAAAGAGCGACTATGCAAATGAATTGATGGAAAGGCTTGGGATCCTCATGTTGAAGTGCTCTGCCCTTTGCTGTCCACTATTTTTTTTTAATAAGAAGCTAAGGCCTTTTTCTTACCAGGTAACCTATTGGGGATCCCTTTACTTTCTTTTGGCTGCCAAGGTCTGCACTGAAGTCTGATCAGGGTCTCCATCCTGAGTGCCAGACTCTACCTCATTCCTCCTTCTCTTCACAGGGAACAGAGGCTGACAGGCCTGGTGGTGTTCATTCTTACAGGCATCTCCATCTTCCTGGCACCTGTACTCAAGGTACTTTTGTTAGACCAGGATCGGGGTCAGTACAATAATAATAACTATAGCAAGAGCAAGCACTGGTTGAACACTTACAGTGTGACAGGCACTGTGTTTTCTCCACTATGTGGTCTCATTTAACCCTTACTTTATCCCTGAGAGGCAGCCTGTACTTTACAAATGGGAAATGGGAAATGTATAAAGTAACTGGCAAGAACCCACCGAGAAGCTGGGCATGGTGGTGTGCACCTGTAATCCCAGAATTTAAGAGGCTGAGGCAGAAGGATTGCAGCAAGTTTGAGGCCAGCCTGGGCTTCATGGTGAATTCAAGGCCAGCTTGAACTACATAGTGAGTCCCTGTACCAAAAAGTGAAAAGAAAAAAAAAAAAAGCTGAGCATGGTGGCATATGTCTATAATCCCAGCACTGGGGAGGCTGAGGCAGGAGAATCTCTGTGAGTTCAAGGCCAACCTGGGCTACATATCAAGATCTTGTCTCAAAAAAAAAAAAGTTCATGAAGTAAGTCAGTTTCTAAGATCTATATGAGAATCCAAACTCTTATCCAGTAGGTTTCTGGCCAGTGGAGCAAGCTGTGAGCATGCCACCATCCCTAGGTTTCAAGTGCTACCCATACTGAGACTAAGTATAATTATCGTAGCCTAGAAAATCTTTGAGGCAAAAACCCTTTCTTCTCTCTCATTCGAGGTCTAGAGAAATGTGCTGTGTGCTGCACTGTGCTCGGCACCTGGCAGAAGTGAGCGCAGGTGGTTTTGAAAAGCATTATGAAATCAATCCCTTACCAACAACACACACACAGGAACAAAAACTAAGTAACAAGGAATAGCACAAAGGTCCTACAAGCCAAGACAGTAGAGCACTCAAGGAAGATGTGGAGACTGTCAGACAAGAGTCACTGGTGGGGCGACAAGGACAAGAGGTTAGAGGAGGGAAAGGTCATACAGGCTGTGTGAGAGTGGTGCAGTAGAAAGAGCCAGATGGACCGGATCAGCCACTTACTAATTAGGTGACTCTCATAAACCTTATGCCCAGCACCATTCCAGGCACTGGGGATATAGTGATGATCAAAAGAGGACATGTCTCCATCCTTGCAGTCTGGTGAAAGGAGACAGATTTTTAAAAATTAAAACAAGAAAACAGGATAACTTCGGGTAGTGATAATATCTTTCAAAAATAAGAGGATAAGGTGATTGAGAGTGCCAGAGGCTACTTCAGATTGGTCAATGAAGGCCTTTCTGGGGTGTCATGAAAAGAGGCATGAAGTCTGGAAGAAGAACATTTTGGTGGAAGGAACAGTTAAGCAAGAGTCTGCAAGGTGCTAGGCACAGTGGTGCATGCCTACAATCCTAGCACTAGGGAGGTTGAGACAGTAGTGTTACAAGTGAGTCACTTGCTAAGGCAACTTAGCAAGACCTTGTCTCAAAAAACAAAAAACAAAAACAGAAAAAGGCTAAGTATAGTGGCCCACGCCTATAATCCCTGCACTCAGGAGGCTGTGGTAGGATTGCCATGAGTTCGAAGCCAGCCTGAGCTACATAGTGAGACCTTGTTTTTAAAAAAAAAAAAAGAAAACAGAAAAAGGCTAAGTATAGTGGCCCACGCCTATAATCCCTGCACTCAGGAGGCTGTGGTAGGATTGCCATGAGTTCGAAGCCAGCCTGAGCTACATAGTGAGACCTTGTTTTTAAAAAAAAAAAAAAAGGAAAAAAATAGAAAGAAAATAAAAAGGAGTAGGAGATATAGCTCAATGGTAGCTCACCTTTGAGTTGGATCCTTAGTACTGCAAAAAGTCCACATCTGATGGATGTGAAGATTCAGTGAGATTAGGCATACAGAATGTGAAAGGAAAGGCCTGGGCTGGCTCAGATGCTAGAGGCTGGGGTTGGAGCCTGAGGTGGGGCATGTGGGTGGCTGGAGGAGGTAAACTCCTTTGCCAGCTCTCTACTTCCTTCTACCAGTTCATCCCAATGCCAGTGCTCTATGGCATCTTCCTGTACATGGGGGTTGCAGCGCTTAGCAGCATCCAGGTGAGCCCATTAAAATCACCTAACAACCTCATTTCTCCTGCCTACACTTGCCAATCCCCCTCCTATTGCATCTTCCTGCCTCTCCTGGGCACAGAGACTGCTGCCATGCTCTGGATGGGGAGAAGACCAAGGGAAACTTCTAGCTCTTCTGCTCTGCTGGGCTGGGATAGCTAACAGTGACACCCCCTGGATGAGTACCCTGGTTTCCTTTTCCTCTCACTTCTACAGTTCGTGAAGAGAGTGCAGCTATTGCTGATGCCAGCTAAACACCAGCCAGACCTACTGCTCTTGCGGCATGTGCCTCTGAACAGAGTACACCTCTTCACTGCCATCCAGCTTGCCTGCCTAGGTCTGCTTTGGATAATCAAGTCTACCCCTGCAGCCATCATCTTCCCCCTTATGGTGACTTGGGGCAGGGCTGGGCAGTACTAGGGGGTTCTGGGAAACTCTGAGCTTGGGAAGGTGGCTGAGACCTCCACAAGAAGAAGCCTCACCCCTGTCTCAATTTCCCTGGCTCTTCCTGGTTGGTAAAATTAAGAAAAAAAAGATGGGGTATACCTGCAGATGGACTAGTCCTGGCAGACTCGATTCTCTTTTCCAACTTCTTTGGGCCAATGTATGAACAGAGGAGAAAACTGGGAGATCCTGCGAAAGGGGAGCTGATATTTTTGTTAGTCAGTGAGGGGTTACACAGAGGAGGGCAATGCAGTTGTGTAACCTCTGGGCTGTTACTTATCTCTTAGGGCCTCAACTTCTGTCCCTGTGTGATGGAAATATTTATTGTGTCTACCTTACAAGAATATGTTAGCCTTCTGTGAAATGATATGCAATGCTTAGCCCATAGGAAGTGCTCAATAAAGGTTAGAATTGTTCATGTTCTTGCTGTCGTTGCTGACAGCCTTGGGCTTGTTTCTATTCCTGCAGTTGCTGGGCCTGGCAGGTGTCCGAAAGGCACTAGAGTGGGTCTTCTCACCGCAGGAACTCCTCTGGCTGGATGAGCTCATGCCAGAGGAGGAAAGGAGTATTCCTGAGAAGGGACTGCGGCCAGAACACACATTTGGTGGAGATGAAAGCCAAGAAGTGAGTTCCAGGCTGGCTCCTCCCAGGGGTAGAGGCAGGGGCTGCGGGAGCTCTTTTGACCAGAAGCTGTCTGTAAAGTTTAATATAGCCACTGAACCTGAAGATCTGATGAACCCAATCATTCCCCTTAGCTCTGTGTGACACAGGCAGAATGAAGGGGTGAGGGAAATTGTTCTTCATAGGCCAGAGGCTCTAGTTTATGATCCTGTGAGAGTGGACAGTACTGGGACACAGCTCTATGGGCTCTCTTTCTCAACTCTGATCTTTGTTTTGTATTGCGGTGGATTTCCATCATGCCTTTTTTTTTTTTTTTTTTTTTTTTTTTTTTTTTGGTACCGGGGATCGAACTCGGGTCCTTCTGCTTGTGAGGCAGGCAGTGGAACCACTGAACTAAATCCCTGGGCCAAATTCAGAGATTCAAGATTGTTTGGATCTTTTTTTTTTTTTTTTTTTGGTACTGGGGATCGAACTCAGGTCCTTGTGCTTGAGCAGCAGGTGGCGAAACCACTGAGCTAAATCCCCGGCCTCCATCATGCCTTTGTGTCTCAACCTTATCCTCTTGTCTCTCTGTCTCTGTCTCTCCCTCTCTCTCTACCCTACCCACTTGGGGATCTCTCTTTCAGTCAGAGCTGATGTATCAGCCAAAAGTTCCGGAAATCAACATCTCTGTGAATTAGTTGGAGCAAGAGTCTGGCAGTGGAGACCTTATGAAACAGACCATGAGGTGAGGGCAGGAGGCAAGTGGTTGCTTCTGGTGTTGAGGATTGGGGGGGTGCAGGCTCAGATCCTGGAAAACTCCTGCATACTGACCAGCTGTTTCCTTTTCATACTCCAGTTCCTCGTGAATCCTAGAGCTGGGGAGGAAGCAGAAAGGTCTACCCAGAGACGAATGAAAACAGGCTGGGTACCTGGGCTTGACGCCCTGCCGTTTTGAGGTCTTGCCAGTAGAGGGAGCGCCAGCTCATACCAAATAGGATGCTGAGACTGAGGGGATAGACAAGGATGGGAAAGAAAAGCAATGACAAAGGAATGGGAAGAAGAGGGAGGGGATAAAGCTCTGCTCTTTTTCCCTACCCAGGAGGTTCTTCTTTTAGGTTGCTGTGAACCCCACTATAGACAAATGGAGGGATTCTTTATCCCTTGCCCTCTCTGCCTTTCATTTTATTCATCCATATATCATTTTTCTGAGGTATATCAAAATACCTGTAAGTAGAGTTTTTAAGTACTATAGATTCAGTAGTGAGTAGAGCAACCATAGTCTCTGACCTTGGGAAGTTTAAATCCCAGTGGGAGAGTCAGGCAGACAAATAGGCAACTCTTAGTAGGATAATGCTGGATAAGGGAAGCACAGTGGGGAGCAGAGAAATCTCTAACCCCTCTCAGAGGATAGTAAAGATGGGATGGTGTGAGTTAAGTAAAGTGTAACAGGAAATGGCCCACAATTTGAACAAGGAATAGCAGCCACCAAAACAAGATGGGGGAAATATGTTCTATGCAGAAACTACAGCATGTCCAAGAGCCTAGAATTTTTTGCTCTTGATAAGCTGAACTCTCTCTTTTGGCCCCAGAACGCTCTCCTCTCCATGCCTCTACAAGTTCAAGAATATGAGTCTCCACTGCTTGCAATGGAAAGTTGGGGGGACTAGAGAGAGAAAGAGTAATTCCTTACCACCCAGTACTCCCTTTGCTCTGTTCTTTGCTTTATTTTGTCCCTGAGCACTTGCTCTGGCCTCATGGTGTCTTTTCTCAGTTCACAGGTGTTTACTCAGAAAGTCAGGACATTGTTGGCCTTTGACTTAGTTACCAGATGCTGTCAGCTGGGGACCTGGAACAATGGGGCAGGACTGAAGGGCAGCTGGCAAAGACCCCAGTTACTGCCTGAGCTGAGCGTGGAAATGGCAAGGAGCAAGTAGGTTTGCTGGTGTTTAGGAAAGGCTTGTGAGCCAGAGGGATTGACCAGTCCTCATTCACTCACTGTCTGCCCATTAAAGGGACTGTTATGGCTTATGTCTAGATGTCCTCCCAAAGCCTCATGCAGTCTTTGTGGGGGTTTTTCAGAGGTGGCTGAATCTAGAGTGTGTGATTGATTCATGGTGCAATGCTAGGATTAAGGGTGGGTGATTACTAAATCAGTCTACTGATTAGGCATGGCCCTAATCCCAGTAGCCTAGATAGAGTATAAAAGGGACAGAAAAAAGCTGCTAAGGTCTCTTGCTTGCTTTGCTACCTTCTGCCTTCCATGAATTGTTTCTCCTCTGTGATGCCCCGCTGCCATGCCACCCTGCCTTGGAGCCAGCTGATTATGGACTGAAACCTCTGCAAGCTGTGAGCTAAATAAACCTTTTCTCCTTTAACTTTGGGTGTCAGGTATTCTTGTCTCAGCAACAAGAAGAGTAACTAAAACAGGGACCTGAGCCCAGAAGTCCTTCCCATTTTGAACTTTCTACCCCACAGATTCCATTTTATAGGATCTTGGGAGCAGATCGTCTTTTCTATTTGCAAAAGGAAGAAAAAAGATCTTCTTTCCATAATAAATACTCTTCTATTTGGAACAGGTTTTTACACACATGAAAATAATTTTTATTATTGCTTTGTTGGTGACAAAGATAAATGAGGCTACTGGAAAATATTGAAATGTTACAGAAATATACATGTATATGTATTTTTTTTATGGTACTGGGGACTGAACCCAGGGGTGATCTACCACTGAGCTATATCCCAGCCCTTTTATTTTATTTTTGTGGTACTCAAGGGTTAAACCCAGAGCCTTCATGCACAGTTATATCCCCAGCCCATATATTTGTTTATTATTTTATTTATTTGTTTTAGTTAATTAATTAATTATTTTTTCAGTACTAGGGATTGAACTTAGGGCCTTGCACTTGTGAGGCAGGCGTGGTGCCACTGAGCTAAATCCCCAGCCCTACACATTTATTTTTTTTTATTTTGAGACAGGGTCTCCCTAAGTTGCCCAGGTTGGGCCTGAATTTGTAATCTTCCTGTTTAAGTGTCCCAAATAGCTGGGATCTCAGGAATGTACCATTATGCCCGGCTCAGAAATGTAAATGTATAATTTTGAAATGGAAATCATCCTAGAAATAACCATTGTCCACATTTTAGTGTATGTTGTTCAGATATCTTTCAATGGTCACATTAATATTTTAATAAAATGGAATTATAGAGTTCTGCAACGTTTTTCACTTAATAAACATTGAACGTTTTCTCCATGTCAGCACATATATATCCACCTCATTGGTCTTTTAAATTAAAAAAAATTATATATACAAAAGAGCATATAAAATGTCTTCTGTAAGTACAAGAATTTCTCCAGAATATATACCTAGGAGTGAGAGACAAGAAAAACAATGAAAAGAAAACCTGTATATCCAACACTTCAGTTAATAAACAAAATATGTCTAGTACCTGTATGTCCTTCCCATATTGCATCCCCCTTCTAGATAAACATTATCCTAAATTTTATGGTAATTATTTAAAAATACTTTTAACTCCTCTAGATGTATCCTTATATTTTAAAATTCATTATTATTATGATATTATTATTATTTTGGCACTGGGGATTGTACCCAGGGCCTTCACACTGAGCTACAACCCCAAGCCCATTTATTTATTCATTCATTCATTCATTCATTTATTTATGTATTTAGAGACAGGGTCTTGCTGTGTAGTTCAGGCTGGCCTTGAACTCACTATGCGGCTCAGGCTGGCCTCAAGCTCAGGGCCAAGTTCTGGGATTACAGGCATGTACTACCATGCCAGGCAACTCCAGCCCTTTAAGAAAAGAAATTGTTTTTAAAATTTTGAGACAGAGTCTTTGCCAAGTCTCCAAGATGTCCAGGTTGGACTCAAACTTGGAATGGTGAGGTTACCTCACCATTCCAGAGTGCTGAAATTACAGGCATGCAATGCCATGTCCAGCTATTTTACATATTTTTGAATGTTATATAAATAGAATCATGGTGTAGCGATTCCTCTGTTTTTTTCACTAAACATTGATTCAAGAATCAATCATGTTGATGCATATAGTTGTAATTTGTTCAATTTCATTGCTTTTTAGCACTCCACTATATGATTCTACCATAATTCAATTATCCAATTTTTTTTTTTTTTTTTGCTACCAGGGATTGAACTCAGGCCCTTGCGCTTGCGAGGCAGGCAGCGGAACCACTGAGCTAAATTCCCAGCCCCTATCCAATTTCTGTTGACTCAAAGAATGCACTGGTGAAATCACTGGGACTGAGTATTTGCTCTGTGGAAGGTTTAAACCCATTCAAATTGTGCTTGCTGCTCGCTTTGGCAGCACATATACTAAATCCATTCAAATTATTTAATTTTCAGGCTTTTTATATTTTTCTTCAGGCAGTTCTGGCAAAATATATTTCTCTAGGAATCTATTTTTTTCTCTCTTTTTTTTTTTTCTTTGTGTGGAACAGGGGATAGAACCCAGGGCTTTGTGGTTCCTGGGCTCTACAACTGAGCTGTATCTTCAGCTCTGCAATCTATTAATTTTCTATAAGTTCTCATATCTACTGACAGTTAGTGTAATAACTCTTATCTATTTATTCTCTAGCATATTGGGCACAATGTGTTTTTTGTATCTCTTCTAATATTATTTATGCATTCTGTGTTTTGGGGTTTTTTTTGGTACCAGGGATCAAACTTGGGACCTTGTGCTTGCAAGGCAGGCAGCAGAACCACTGAGCTAAATCCCAGGCCCTCCTTCCTTCTATTTCCCTTAGGTTTATTCTTTTGAGTTTCTAACTTCTAAGTTCCTTATTTTGAGACTTTTTTAATGGTTTTTTTGAGATAGGGTCTCAGCATGTAGTTCAGGCTGGCCTTGAACTCACTATGTAGCTCAGGCTGGCCTTGAACTTGTGCAGATCCTCCTGTCAAGTGCTGGCATTACTAGCATATTTTGAGTCTTAGTTATTTCTTAATGTAAACACTACTCTTATAAATTTCCTCCTAAGTACTACTTTAGTTGTATCTCATAGGTTTTTTGTTTTGTTTTGGTACTGGGGATCGAACTCAGGTCCTTGCACTTGCAAAGCAGGCAGCGGAACCACTGAGCTAAATCCCTGGCCCCTCATAGGTTATGATATACATTATTCTCATCATTTATTTTTAAGAATTTTCTAATTTCTATTATGATTTCTTCTTTGACCCACGTTATTGAACGTGCATTTAAAAATTTTCCAAACATACATTTTCTCCCCTGTAATTATCCTTTTTTGTAACTGGTTTCTAATTTAATTGCATTTAGATATTTGTGAGGCTAACTTTATAGTTGGGCACGTGATCAATTTTTTGGAAATGTTCCATGTGTACTTGAAAAGACAGTTTATTCTCTAATTGTTAGAAATAATGTTATTTCTATTAAGCCAGATTATTAATTGTGGTATTCAAAATATTTTATATGGGGGTATAGCTCAGGGGCAGAGCATTTGACTGCAAAATATTTTACATAGTTCATGACTTTGGTGGTCTATTTGAACTGTCAAATACTGGAGGAGTTTGTTAATATACCCCCTATGATAATGGATTAATCAATTTTTGCTTTTATGTATTTTATAAAAGGCTTTAAATTTTTAAATTTTATGTACAAAAATCTAGTATGGTCTTTTCCTTTGGGTGGATGTCTAGGATGATCCACTGGAGGAAGATAACTTAATACAACTTCCTTATATCCTTCAAGTACTGATGGAAAACTCCTGGTCATATTTCTAAATCAGACAGATAGATTTGAGCAAATGCAGCAAGAGCATGAACCCTGGTGAAATTTTTCAACACATAATGCTGGGAGAACTGAGTATCAACATGCAGAGAATGAAGTTGAACCCTTACTTCACACTATGTGCAAAAAGTAACTCATGTAGATCAGTGACATAAAGGTAAGAAATAGAACACCATTTGTTAGAAGAAAACATTGATGTAAATCTTTATGACCTTGGATTTGGCAGTGGTTTCTTAGATATGGTAAGAAAAGCACAAACAACAAGATAAAATTAGTTGGACACCATCAAAATTAAAATTTTCTGTACTCCAATGATGTTATTGAGAACATGAAAAGACGACCCACAGAATGGGAGAAAATATTTGCAAACACATGTTTGATAAGGCACTTGTACCTAAAATATATAAAGAGCACTTACAACTGAATAATAAAAGGACAACCAAAATTTAAAAAAACAGGCAAGAGCTGGGTGTGGTGGTGTGGTGTATTCTTGTAATCTCAGTTACTTGGGAGGCTGAGGCAGGAGGATTGCCAACCTTGTCAATTTAATTAGACTGTATTTCAAAATAAAATATTAAAATGCTGGGGATGTAACTCAGTGGTGGAGCAGCCCTGGGTTTAATCCCTAGTACTAAAAATACCAAAAAAAGGTAAGGAATCCAAGGGGTTCAAATAAGTATTTATTCAAAGAAGATATATAAATGGCTAACCACATTAAAAGATTCTCACCATCATTAAGCATCAGGGAAATGAAAATGAAAACCACAATGAAATACCACTCAAACCCACTAGAATGATTACAATAAAAGACAGATCAACAGATAATAGGAAACAGGGAGATAGATTTTTTTGCAAAAGGGAAGGTGACCCATGAGATGGAGGGAGCTGGGCATGATGGCACATGAGAGGCTGAGGCAGGAGGATCACTATGAGTTTGAAGCCAGCCTGGGCTACATAGTGAGTTCAATACCAGCCTGAATTACAGAGTGAGC